CTTCCTTGTATTTCTTCTTTGCAGATATATTTGAATCTAAAGATCCTCTTCAAAATGGAAGCATAAAACTAAGCATGGCTGAGGTATCTGTTTCTTCTGTGTCTTACTTACACCTTAATCTGAGAGCTAATTGAGGCAAATTAAGATTTAATAATATAACAATGTTTCTCTTTTTCAGTGGCTCAAATCATCACTAATGTGCTAAAGAAATGTGTACCTAAAAAATAAATATCTGTCGCCGCAAATCCATCTCAGAATATTAAGTGTACCTGCCTTTTAAGTCATGACTGGTGCTAATTTGATCTATTCAGAAAGGCTTTAAGTAATAAATTGTGAAATTAATTGATATTTAGTTTAACTGTACAAAAGATTATATTTTGTAGCTCATGAGGACTTAGATTAGAGATGACTCAATTGACAGGACGGATATTTATTGGATGTCTACTTGAATGAGACTGATAGGTGTTGACAGAATTAGGGAAGGGTGGCTCTTTCCCAACATTAACTTTGAAATGAGTACACCTGAGATATCTTGTCAGGTTTAGATAAAAGAAAAGCTATTTTAGGTGTGTTCTCCAAGAATGTTTCCAAGATTGTGCAGTAGTTCACATTGAACTTGTTTGATGGTTTGTGCCATCCAGTCAGTGTAAAATATGTTCTCATGAGAATTATATTATATTTATGGATGTATGATGCTGATGCTGCATCACCATGCATATATAGTTTGTACAAATGCATGATTCATTTTATAATGTAAATAATGTACATATTACAATACTCTAATGTATAATAAATTATTTGTAAATTTAGAGTTAAGTCACCAGTCATTGAAACTAACATTGCCCAGGGTCGAGCCTTGTGTGTCTGGGCAACTGGGCATTAGTCAGAACGCCATAAAGTGTTCCAATAACACAGAAAAGTAAGCTGTCTTTCCAATCTCATAGTCCAAATTACGACAGAGATTATTTGTCTAGTATGTACAGTTCATATGTCATGAATGGAACAGTAATCTTCCCAAAATGTGCAATGTAACACAATGAAACAATAAACATGTTGTACAGGCCACTCCTACACCTGTGATTTATTATACCGGGTGTACGTAAGTATACGCGGCAGCTCGATGGGTTGCCTACGCAATAGCGTGCAGGCGCGGAGGGCGACGGGGGAGCGGTGGAGGTGCACGTGCCTGTTTGTAGCTACACGATTGTAGCTACAGCCGACAGTGCCCGAGTCAGATTAAACTGAACCGTCTATAGACAAATTCATTACTTCCGCCAATGCTAGAATATCAACC